CGCATACATCAGTTCCTTTGGAACAGTATCAGGTGGGGCTAAAAGCGGCGCTAATTGTTGAGGTCCTGCAAATATTTTTGCCAATTGCATTTTCAGACACAGATCAAGATTTCATTCATTGAGTTTCTTGAGTCATTATACTTACCAGGACATCGAGGTTGAAGAGACCTGGATAACCTGAAAAACAAACCGAGAGAGTGAGTGAGAGATCGGTTAAATAGGTTGGTTAAACTCATTAGCTCCTGAAAATGCGATAAGAAGAGATTCATTACGTGGTCAAGATAGTGCCATCGGCGAAACCATTGTAACTACAAGTAGTAAGTTTACAACCAGCACTACTCTGCTGCGAAGTGATGTTCCCGAGCATGAACTTGCTGTTTCTACATTGCATACTGGAGCAAGAGACTGCTAAAGAAGCGGGCTCACAATACATACTGCATCACACCAAATGCAAAAGCTCAGCTACGTAGCCAAAATCGATTCATAGTAATACTAATAGAAATACAAGTCCTACACAAAACTCAAATCGCATAATACCTGCGGCTTCCAAGTGAACAGCTGCATTGTACACAATGGCCTGCAGTGAGAGCATAGCTTCCATTCGGAATGATCAGACCGTAATCCGTAGCGTATTTGGGGAAATTCGAACCACAAGCTGTGATTGTTTCGATACAAAACAACAAAAACATTCAAAATCTAAAGTAGTCATACATCACTTAATGGCAAATTCCTATAAAAAGATTGAGACTTTAGACCTATTACGCCTCTTAAGATAGTTTCAATTACAGTGAATTCGAGCTTTCTCATTCAACGAAGAAGAAGAGAGTGTGTCTCACCTAGCAATGGGACAGCGAGAATATCTCCAGGGTTGATATCAGGAGCTCCCATGGCATTCACATTAGTCAAATCCGTAACACTAGTCGAAAATCTCTTCGCAATTCCAGTCATTGTATCGATTCCCCTCACAACGTAAGATAGATAAAGAGCAGGAAGAGAATCATCTGTACCATTGAAGCAAGCACAAGGAAGAGGAATCACAAGAGTTGTACCTACATCGAGAGTAGAAGACTCAATCACCGGATTCGCCACCTGAATCTGCTCCGGCGAGACCAGACCACCGTAAACAGAGTCAGCGATCGATCCTAGCGTGTCGGAAGTACGAGTCTTGTAACGGGTCGAGACGGATTTCCTGATTCCGTCGACACAAGAACAAGTGATTGGGATTTTGAGGAAGAGATGTTCGGGAAGGACATGGTTTTCGACGTCTGGGTAAGAGATATCGATGGAGTTAGAGAGGAGTACTGAGATTGGGTCTACTTGGAAGAGAGAAGCTACTTCTGTGACTTTGAGATCAGTGTAGAGAGTGTAACCGAGGAATGAATTGCAAGTGTCGCTACTTGAACAGGGCTCTATTGTTGATTTCGCAGTCGCCATTGATGCTAAGCTCGAAGCTAGAATTAGAAACAGAAACAAGGGGTTTTCTGGGTTTTTCATTTCGATTCGTGGGTTCTAGAATCAGAATTAGGAATTTGTAAAGGGTTTTACGAATTCGAATCTTCTAGGGTTCTAAAAATTTCAAATTTTTGTAGGGTTT